AGTTTACGAACATAAGTTTGAAGAGTTTGAGGACTTGGAGGATAACGAAGATACCTTCTTAGGTTGTATTCGAACCCTTCCGGTGGAGTTAGAGTCAATGCCCCTTATCCCAGACATGTCGAGATTGGGTGTTGTACGTTGTACCCTGACTCAGCCTAAAAATGCTGACGATTGGCGACGTCATGCCATTTTTCACACTTACATCGAGATCAATAATAAAGGATGTAAAGTCATTGTGGATAGTGGTAGTTGCATTAATACGGTGTCGATGACTACTGTAACCCGTCTGGGTTGCAATATGTACCTCACCCTCAGCCATATAGTGTCTCTTGGGTTGATACTTCCTCGATAGCTATAAAGGAATGTTGTCTGGTGCCTATTCAATTTTTTGAGTATAAAGATCATATATGGTGTGACGTCATTTCCATGGATGTTGGTCACGTCATTCTTGGTCGGCCTTGGTTGTTCGATTTAGATGTAACCATTTATGGTCGATCCAATTCATGCTCGTTCGTGTTTAATGGCAAGATCCACCTTAACCCTCTTCCACTGAGACCTGATGGCTCACATGAAACAAAGAAACGCGAGGAACAAAAGGGGTTACACATCATTAGTCCTACGGAGTTCGAGTGCACACTTGTGGGCGATTCGGTTATTTTTGCCTTGGTTGTCTTGGAGGTCCCATTGAGTTCCCCATCCACAGCCTCTCCTGAAGCCCAGGCGATCATTCAAGAGTTCCAGGATGTGTTCCCCGAGGACTTACCTGACGAACTACCTCCTTTACGGGACATCCAATACGCCATAGATTTGGTCCCGGGAGCGTCGCTTCTAGATTTGCCTCATTATAGGATGAATCCTACTGAACACGCTGAACTAAAGAGGCAAGTGGATGGACTCCTTCTCAAAGGATTCATCCGTGAGAGTTTAAGTCCTTGTGTCGTTCCAGCGCTGTTGACTCCTAAGAAGAGGATGTGCATCGATAGTCGTGCCATCAATAGGATTACGATAAAGTATTGCTTTCCTATTCTTAGGCTTGACGACATGTTGGATATGATGGTTGGCGCTACGATATTCTCAAAAATTGATTTGAAGAGTGGGTATCACCAGATTAGGATCTGCCCAGGTGATGAGTGGAAGACCGCTTTTAAAACAAAAGATGGTTTTTATGAGTGGTTAGTTATACCTTTCGGCCTAACTAACGCTTTGAGCACTTTTATGCGATCAATGACACAAACTCTTCGTCCTTTCATGGGTAAGTTCCTTGTTGTCTACTTTGACGACATTTTCGTCTATAGTACAACGAAGGAACAACATCGAGATCATCTCCAGCAAGTTTGTTTTTCCCTTCGAGCAACAAAATTGTATGCTGATGTCAAGAAATGTTCGGTCTTCACCGACAGCGTCATCTTCTTAGGTTTCATTGTATCATCTATGGGGGTATCTGCCGATCCTGCCAAAATTCAGGCGATTGTTGATTGGCCTGAGCCTAAGACTGTGCATGATGTCAGGAGTTTTCATGGCCTAGCAACCTTTTACTATCCTTTCATCAAGGGGATTAGCACAATCATGGCTCCCATTACGGTGTGTATGAAGAAGGAAGAGTTTCATTGGACCCATGAGGCGACTAAGGCTTTTAAACTAGTTAAGAAACGAATGACGGATGCTCCTGTCATGCGTCTTCCTGACTTCACCAAGGTTTTTGAAGTGGAGTGTGATGCCTTTAGAGTCGGCATCGGGGGAGTCCTTAGTCAGGAACGCCACCCTGTCGTTTATTTCAGTGAGAAGTTGAATGACGCCAAACAACGGTACTCGACTTATGATAAGGAATTGTACGCAGTTGTGCAGGCTTTGCGATATTGGCATCATTATTTGCTATCCCAAGAATTTGTTCTTTATTCAGACCATGAGGCCCTCTGCTATCTCACCTCCCAGAAGAGATTGAATTCTAGGCACGGTCGCTGGGTTGAGTATTTACAGGCCTATTCTTTTGTTTTGAAACATAAGAAAGGGGTTGAAAACCAGGCGGCTGATGCATTAAGTCATCGTATCTCCCTTCTGTCGATCATGAACGTTAAAGTCATAGGTTTTGAACGGCTTAAGGAAGAGTACGAAACTTGTCCTGACTTTAAGGATATCTTTCTTGATTTGCAAAATGGACAGTCGGATACTGCGGACGGTTTTCGCCTTGAGGAGGGTTATCTTTTTCGAGCTAATAACTTGTGCATCCTTCGAACTTCAGTGCGAGATTTCAGAGTTCATGAAATTTATGCGGAAGGTTTAGCTGGTCACTTTGGGCGAGATAAGACCATAGAGGAGATTGAACGTCAATTCTATTGGCCTAGTTTGAAGAAATATGTGGCCAAGATAGGTAGCACTTGTAACACCTGTCAATTGGCCAAACAAAAGAGGCAAAACACTGGCCTTTACACACCTCTTCCCGTTTCTGATTGCCCTTGGCAAGATGTGGGCATGGATTTTGTGTTAGGGCTTCCACGTACCCTAAAGAAACATGACTCTTTTTTTGTGGTAGTTGATCCTTTTTCCAAGATGACTCATTTTATCCCTTGTAGCAAAACTTCAGATGCGTCCAGGGTTGCCACATTGTACTTTAATGAGATTGTTAAATTGTATGGCCTCCCCAAAGCCATCGTGTCAGATAGGGATGTTAGGTTCACTAGTCACTTTTGGAGAACATTATGGCACAAAATGGGTACAAAGTTAAAATTCTCTATTGCCTATCACCCGCAGACTGACGGTCAAACGGAAATGGTTAATCGTAGTCTTGGTAATTTACTAAGGTGTTTGGTCCAAGAAAATCTTAGATATTGGGATTTAATTCTTCCTATAGCTCAAATTGCATATAACAGTTCCATGAATCGATAGTTAGGTAGGAGTCCATTTGAAGTTGTTCATGGTTTTAAGCTTAGGAAGCCTTTAGATCTCATTCCGATGTCCCCACATGCTAGAGTGTCTATGTCAGCTAAAACATTTGCACAACATCTTCATGATTTGTATTGAGATTATAAACAACTCGAAACTAGTAACGCATCATATAAACTTAGGGTTGATTTACATAAAAGACATGTTGATTTTAATATTGGGGATTATGTCATGATCCGAAACCGACCAGAGCGGCGTTTACATGGACCCGCCTCTAAATTACAAGCTCGTAGCGCTGGTCCTTTTGAAATTTTAAAGCGAGTTGGCCCAAATGCTTATGTTCTTGACCTTCCGCCACATCTTGGCTACCACCCGACCTTCAATGTTGAGGACTTGTTTGCTTATAAAGGTCATTTCAATCCCTCTGATAATCCTTTCCTACCTCCATCCGTGGACCTTGACCCGGAATCTCTTGCTACTTCTAAACCAATGCCACATTTCCCAGCACACAAAGATAAAATTGATGCTATTTTAGATGAAGAGGTGGTGTTGACTAAAGATGGGGATATTCAGCGATTCCTTGTTCGTTGGGTTGATCGGCTTGAGTCTGATGACTACAGATGGGGACTTTCAGCGATTCCTTGTTCGTTGGGTTGATCGACCTGAGTCTGATTGCACATGGATTACTAGAGAACCACTACAGCAGCTTGACCCAGACTTGTTGGAGCGCTATCGGAGTTAGCAAGATTTTCCTTTGCCCAGTTCTTCTTCCACGTTTCGAGGGGACATTGGTGGGGATGCCAGATCCCGACCACCGCTGACACGCTTTTATCGACGTCGGAGGACGCTCGTCCAGCCCCTGAGCTTATGGTTGGGTGATTGGTTGCGGCCTTTTTACCTATCCACTTGATAGTGTCGAGTTTTCTTCCATCCCGGGAGAGTTGATGCGGACATCATTGGATCATCGGGATTTATTTCATTGTCATCAGGAGTACTTTTATTGTTATTGGACTTTATTTATTTATGTCTTCTAATTTTATTGTTATTGGGCTTGTATTAGTGGGTTAGCCCAAACCCGTCAATTACCTAGGTTTTTGCTATTTAAACAGTTTTACATTACAGTTTAGACAGTTGATGATTGAATAAAATTTGAGTTTGGCTTTGCCACGTTTTCTTCCTCTTCTCGGCTTCCTCTCCTTCTTCTTCTCAGCTTCTTCTCCTTACTCCTCCTCGTCTTCTTTCTCATTCTACATCACTTTTACTTAAAATAAGAATAGTGACTTTGTTCAAAAATACTGAATGTGTTGTTGAGTTTCAAACTTTCTCATCTTTGCGTCTACACTTTGAATCTTTTTAATAAATGTAACTCGAAGAACCATTGAACAATTTCCATTCGAAGGAGTATTAGTTGATTAAATTCAAGCTTTGACATTAATTCATCCGCAATTTCCACTTAAAACAATTCAAGAAACAAAAATAAAAAACATTGTTAGTCAACTACAATGGTTGTTCTAAAGAGATCATCTAAACTTACTGTCTAGTTGTGCTTTATAATTTTTTTATGTCTAGAGTTTGTCTAAGCCTGTTAGACTTGCAACATTTTAAAGCTTAACTTTACCGTTCAACCACACTTTATACTTTTTCGAACATTGACTGTGTTGCTTCAACATGTAAATTATCAAAATCCACATAAACAGTGCATCAGAAATTGCTATCAGAATATTGTTCATGAACAACGAGTGATGTTAGTTATGTAATGAATTATGCTATAGATTTCTTATTTTTGTTTAGTCCTTAGCAGACAAAAGTATTCACAACATGAAATTTAGATGAAAGAAAGAAAGAATTGTCTCGTTTTTGGTCAACATCATCAATAAAAACATAAAAGGTTACTTCTGTAATGTAATAGGATAGCCATTGATTCTTCCATAATTACTGTGAATTAAAATTTATTTTTCTTTTCAAAAATTTCCCAAAAATAAATTATTTTTCCAAATCCCCGTCTATGACTATGGGAATGCCAACCTATAAATACTCTTCCTGTTCTCAATCCTCTTTCACAAATCCTTCTTGCTGCAGTTGCATGTATTCCTTCCAATTTTTATTAATCCGCAGAGGCCATGGACGATACGTGCGTTACGTGTGCTGAGGTATTAAACTGGGTGGCCTACGGTGCGTGTCGCCACAAGGATGTTTACTGCACCTGCGTGGCTCGCTCTCGATTCATATCCCACGATCGCTGCTGCTCTATTTGCAAGACCCCATCCAACGTCGTGTTTGTCACCAAGGTTCTGGAATATTCTGCATTATTTTTTGCTTCAATGTCGTACATAATTATGTCCATTGGTTTGTAAAATTCTTTGAATTCTAAACTGAATTAAACTAGGGTTTTGCTAAGCATTATTTAGTATCAATATCAACCAAAATTAGAAATATTTGCATGTAGCAAACGACTTTGTTTGGACAAATAGAAAGAATGAGTGCTTAATTAAAGACTTGATTGATATTGTTGGAAAGAACTACTGATAAGTCGAATTTCAGTAAAATAATTACTTCTAATAACCCCTTTGAGACCATGTTTCCAAATTCCAATCGAATAAAACCTTTCTTGTTTTGCTTGGATGCAATTAGGATTTGGGAGAATATACGAAAAGGATAGGGGATTTTTCTGTACTTCCACCGGATGTGGAAGAGGGTAGAGTGGGAAACTACTGGTACCATGAAGGCACGCAATCATTCTTTGATGATTCGGATCACTACAAGATGATAAAGGCCATGTGCGAGCTTTCTTGTAGCGTATGTGACGGAATTGATAAATTTAGGAGAAAGGAAAAGTTTAAGGATATTGAGGAACTCAAGGGTCACTTGTTCCATAAGCACAAGTTGTTCATGTGCGTCATGTGTTTGAAAGGAAAGAAGGTACATTATCGTTCCCATTTTTTTTCCCTCTCAATCTGTTTTGTTTTCTACTATTCCAGCATTAGTAAGTTACAATGCAGATGCTTCGGCTCTGGCGATGTCAATGATTTTTTGTTTAGTCTACTTTCTAAAGAGGTTAAGAGGATGAATGTTTGACAGGCTAACTCAAATTTGAAATATATTTTGATGTTTACTTTATTCTGACAAATGTTACCTCTAGAACTTGTAAGTACAAAATTAGTATAACTAATCAACAGAAGCATAATAATGGTGAGAGCCAAATCATTTATATTAACTTTTGTAATAAACAACTGCTTTCTGTTTGAGATGCACAGGTCCTGTAAAAGGCATTGAGTTTCTCTATCCTTTTGAGTTAGGTTTAGTTAGTTCTATTTCTTGATGGGGGCTTATTAGTCAAATAACTCAGTGGTAGTGTGTCACCTCAAGATTTGGTTTGTTATTTATTGCTTCGTCGCCTTTGGGAGTTGTTTCTGGGAAGCGGAAAAAACATTAAAGCACGCAAATAGCCGAATGGAACACATTATATCAATATGTCATTATTATTGGTTGACATGACAATCTGATAAGCTGCTATTGGATTCTATCAGGTTTTCATTTGTGAGCAAAATTTGTACACTAGAGCACAACTGACTCGGCATATAAACAGAGGAGATTAGGAGGTGGATGCAACTGAAATTTATCGAGGTGACTTCATGGGGCATCCTCTATGTGAATTCTGCAGCATTCAGTTTTATGGGGAAAGTGAGCTTTATACACATATGTCCACTGAACATCATACTTGTCGTATGTGTCTAAGGTAATCCACGTGGTTCAGATTGAGCTACTTATGATTTGGTTGCAGTCTACATATTTATATATTAATATCTACACTTCCACACAGGCAAGATGCAGGACAATATGAATACTACAAAAATTTCAGAGACTTCGAGGTAATAGGTTATTGAGTTAGTGACATCTGAACTTTTTCAAAATTGCTATCATTATTTGGTTATCTAAAAAGAATAGCTTTTGTTTTCTATTAATTTGCAGAACCACTTCCATACATATCATTTCTTATGCGAGGATGAGGAGTGCCTTGCAAAAAAGTTCGTTGTCTTTCTATCTGAACATGAATTGAAGGTCAACTATCCAACTGACGAGAATATGCATACTCAAAGATCATATGTCTAGATTTTTTACCAGTGTGTTTGTTTCAATTCTTGATTCTTTTCGTAGTTCATTTTGCAGTTACATACTCAGGAGCACGAACAACGTCGAAGAGAATATTCTTGCCTGTATCATACTTCAGATGATGAACTTTCTTTGGCCACCCAAGTCTTGAAACAGCTCCTGATCGTGAAGAAATTAGTGATGACAATACACATTTTCCCTTGCTTGAATCATTAGCTATTACAGACCGAGTCCTCTTCGAAACACGTTCAAGCCTTGTCTCAAATTTCGTTCCCTTCGCTCCTAGTGGCTCCCAGCAATAGTCAGTAAAATGGACACTTCCATGCCTTGTCTTAGACTTCGTTCCCTCTGCTCCCTGTAGTTGCTTGCAGTAGTCAGCAAAATACTTGCTCTGATGTTTTGCCAAAGAACACAATGGCAGCCAGTGGCGGACCCAGCACCCGGCCAGGGGAGGCGGCCGCGCATGCTGGGTTTCGCCGGAAAATTTGTTGGGTGCCTCCTGTCCCGCCTCTGGTTCGTCTTCTCCAACATCCCTTTTTTCTTTTTGTAAATTGTAATAACTTAAGGTTGGCTTTTGTTTTGGACCTTGCTTCTAGCCCAGCCCAATGCTTAATTTCACTATATGTACACACATAATCCTTCCTACCCATAACCCACTGCCCATCCCAACAACAATAGCAAATTATATTTGGGAGAAGAGACGAGTTTCCTCCAGCTCCAGGCAGACCAGGCTCCAGCCTTCAAGAAACGAAATCAACAGTGAAGAGACGACTTTGCTACGCCAACACTACTACTGATTGCTTGCAGTCACAGTGCCGTGCCGTCCCATCGCCCGCTGTCGCCCCGCCGACCACCACCGAGCTGCAGCTTCTTCCCGTCGCCAATGCCCAGTGAGTTATTTTTTGTTTTGCCTGGCTGCCCATCGTTTTTTATGTTTTTTTGTTGTTGGTTTTGGTTTTTGGTGTTATTATATGTTTATGAGTTTTGAAATCATGTTTTTTTTTTTTTATAGTTTTCATTTTTTTTGAAATATGATTTGTGAATTGGAATTGGGGGAAATTAAAATTTGAATTGGAAATGGAATTGGAATTGGAATTGGAATTTGAATTTGAATTTGAATTTGATTTTGATTTTGATTTTGATTTTGAATTGGAATTGGAATTGGAATTGGAATTCAATTTGGAATTGGATTTAGGGTTTGAAATTTGGGGGAAAATAAAATTGGAATTGGATTTAGGGTTTGGAATTGGGGGAAAATAAAATTAGGATTGGAATTGAATTTGTAATTGGATTTTGTGAAAGCTAACAATGCAAAACGGGGGAGAGGGAAAACGAAAGGGGGGACTAGGGTTTCTACATTGCAAAGTGATGGAAAATACAAGGAAAGAGAGACTTTAAATAGTCTTACAAGTAAACAACTAGAATGACAAATCTACCATTGACCTAATCTATTTATTACATTAACATCCCCTCTCAAACTCACGATGCTACAACAAGAAGCAACGAGAGTTTGCCGAATAGAAACCAACAAAACGATGAACCGGATGTGACTTCGTGAAGTAGTAGCAAGCTGCAACGATGAACAAAAGATAGGGAAATAGTGCCAGTCTGCAGTAATCAAAAACTTCAAAATGCTAGTATGTCAACCACGTCAAACAAAGAACACAAAGTTGATGATCATGAAAAATCATCATCCGCCAATCTAACCAAATGGATGCAAATTTCAAATTCCAACTCTCAAATACCAAAATGAACTGGATGCAAATTTCCAATTTCGGATACACCGAACCAACACCAAATCAAATTTTCAATCCCACAAACTGGGCACATACCAAACCAAATTCCCAATCCCGTGATCCAGGCAACAAACTAAATTTCCAATCCCATTAACTGGGCTAACCAAATTTCCAATCCCATCAACTGGGCAAATACTAAACCAAATCTCAAATCCCATGAACTGGGCCAAATTGCAAACCAAATTTCTAACAAATGCCATCAACAACTTGAATCATATATTCTACCAAAAGAAGTACAAGGAGAAAGAAGGAGAAACAAACCGACGATAGAGAAGAAGACAAAGCAGCGGAAGAGAGAGAAGCAAAATTAATTTCCAAATCCCTTTTTTTTTTGTAAACCAACCCAAATTAGTAATAATCAAACCAATTAAATCATTGGCCCCAATTACTCCGACAACCCAATAAACACAACAACCAACATATTATCTTAACAGCCCAAACTCAATCAACCCACAAAAGAAACTAGATTGCAACCCCAACAAATTGCCACTTAAAAGTAGCCCACTCCAAAATCAGCCCAATAACAAATACCAAATAGTGACCCAAAACCATAAATTAACCCAAACATCTCATATTATAACCCAAAACCCAATCACCAATCCAACTACCCATAAGCCCAATAAATCCATAACCTATTCATCATCTTCTCTAATTTCATTCACTAGCCCAAATTGCTGCCGTCCAATAGCTCTGCCACAATTCCATCGCCACCATCGAACGCATCTACCAATACCATCCTCATCCAACATCATCTGAAACATATGCAGAGCTTCCAGAAATTATCAAATTCCAAGTGATTATATTTCTATCCTCCATTCTATCACATATCAAGTGAATAACAAAGTTTCACACAACAAGCCACTGACTCCCCAAATGACTAGGCAAACGAGCTGAAAATACCAAACAAATTGGGCAAACAAGCTGGGAAATACCAAACAGTTGAAAATGTCTAAAAATACCACAAAATGGACAGCAACAGTAGCAGCAACACCCAAAATAACAAAATGGATAGCAACACCCAAAATAACTTAGCTGGAACGAGATTGAAGGCCGAGAATACCGAGCTGAAAATGTCCAGCAACGGACCAAACAGGACCAGACACCGGCGGTTAAAGTTCAATTCGGATGATATTGTATCTGATCCAGGGAAACGCTCCTCTATTGAGTCATATGATCCTAATATCATAGATGATGTTAGGATGGCATACTTAGAGAAAGGTCCATGTCAACCACATGGATATGACTTTCCAAGAAGACAGATGGGAAGTGATAACAGGTGTTTTCGGAAAGAATGGTTCGCTGAATTTGATTGGTTAGAGTACAGTGTAGAAAAGGATGCAGCGTATTGTTTGTATTGCTACATGTATTCACTAAGACCGGTTTTAGGGATTGGAAGCACAAAAAGACATTGAAAGATCACGTCGGTCTCTTTGATAGTACTCATAATCAAGCATTCGCAAAGTGTACCAACTTGATAAATCAAAAGCAAAGTATCTCTTACGTTATTTCCAGCCAAAGTAGTAGTCAACAAAAAAATTATAGGACGAGATTGACTGCGGTGCTAGATTGTACTAGATTCCTCTTGATGCAAGGATTGACATTTCATGGTCACGATGAATCCAAAGAATCTATCAATAGAGGAAATCTAATTGAATTGCTAGACTGGTATGTGGCTCGATGTGAGGAAGTGAAACAAGTAGTATTCAGTAATGCTCCTGGAAATGCCCAAATGACTTCGCCAAAGATCCAAAAAGATTTGATTAATTGTTGTTCCGTAGAGACAACAAGGACTATTATCAATGAGATGGGTGATTGTCTGTTTTCAATCTTGGTTGATGAGGCTCGTGATAATTCTATAAAAGAACAAATGGCAGTTGTTTTGAGGTTTGTTGACCAAAGTGGTCTCGTGAAGGAGCTTTTTTGGGCATTACTCATGTCGCTGATACTTGTGCCCAATCACTGAAAGATGCCATTGATGCGATGTTTTCTACGCATGGGTTGAGCATATCTCGCTTGAGAGGTCAAGGTTATGATGGAGCAAGCAATATGTCAGGTGAGTTCAATGGTTTGAAAGCTTTAATTTTAAGAGAGAACCCCTATGCTATGTATGTCCATTGCTTTGCTCACCAACTTCAGTTGGCAGTTGTTTCTGTGGCACGTAAGAATAATATGCTTGGTGATTTCTTTAACATGCTATTATTGTGAATTTGGTGGGTGCATCATGTAAGCGTTTAGATGCTCTTCGAACAAGTTACCATGTCGATATTTTGGAGAAACTTAATATTAGGGAACTTTGTAGTAGGAGTGGTAAGTTTCAAGAAATGAGTTTGGCACGCCCAGGTGATACTAGATGGGGCTCACACCTACTGACAATTACTCGTGTGATTAATATGTTTAATGCTATCATAGATGTTCTTGAGGGATATATCTGAAGATGGCATAAATTTAAATCAAAAATCAATGGCTGCAAGACAAATGGATACTATGCAGGACTTTGAGTTTGTATTCAGTCTCCATTTTATGTTTGAAATTCTTGCAATTACAGAAGACCTTTCACAAGCCTTACAGAAAAAGGATCAGGATATTGAGAATGCTATGAGGTTATTGAATGCGTGTAAATTTGCATTGCAAGACATGAGAGACAATGGCTGGGAAGTTTTGTTGAGTAGGGTGATTGAGTTTTGTGTTGTTAGACATATTTTAGTGCCCAATATGGAGGATATTGTGGTATTTAAAGGTCGACCTAGGCGTGGAACTCAGCAGGTGACTTATTATCATCGCTTTTATATTGATTTGTATTGTCATTTGATAGACTCAATCTTACAAGAGTTGAATGGTCGTTTTTCCGAGACAACTACTGAGCTCCTAGTTTGCATTTCGTGTTTAAATCCAAGAGATTCCTTTGCAGCATTTGATAGGGATAAATTGATACGTCTTGCTCAGTTCTATCCTTGGGACTTCAATAATGAAGAGCTTTTAATACTTCGACCTCAACTTGAAAAGTTCCTTATATTTGTGAGAATGAGTGATGCTTTCTTGAACCTCAATAGTATTTCTTGTGTGGCTCAGAAGTTGGTTGAAACAAGAAGCGCTTGTTATTTTTCATTGGTTTATAAGCTGATCACCTTGGTTTTAATTTTACCTGTTGCAACTGCAAGTGTTGAAAGAGTATTCTCTGCTATGAATTTAATCAAGAGTGACTTA